CTCCAAGACTACCCTGCCCGACATCATTGCAGTAGAGATAGCATTTTCTTTTTTTCCTTTTTCTTTCACTCGTGGGCAATATAAAAATCTGATTTAACTTCAGGAACTGGCAAAACATGGTAATTTCCCAACACTGGCGGAGGTACTAGTGGTTTAATACTATCTACAGTATACCGTGTACACTACGGGAAGTTGGAAACCTGTTCTTTCCCCCTTTGCTGATAACGACAGCGAAAACACATTGTCCCCTGAATAGAACATGCAGTCCTTATCGCTGTATATAGACTGAAAGTTGGCCCAAATACAGGTGTAATGACCATGTGTTCTATTCGGGGGTTTATGGTGATATGACTGCTGCCAAGTTTATGTTGTGGTTTTCTCTGCTAATAAATGGTTGTCGATCCGTCTGGCTTTGTGTGTGTGTGTGTGTGTGTGTGTGTGTGTGTGTGTGTGTGTGTGTGTGTGTGTGTGTGTGTGCGTTTCTGTGTGTGTATTTTACAATGTTGAAAGGTACCCGTCTGCGGTATTTGTGGGAGACACGTTCACATACTTCTCAGGAATGGCGCTCGCAGTTGTTGGGATCCTTGGGCATTTTAGGTAAGTCTGTTTGCCGTGGGACCGGTTCTCATCTCTGGATATGAAGTCCTATCTGTACAGGGAATCACTCTCAGGTCGGAATCAGAAACTTTGTATGTGGTCCTCAAAATGTCCCGGATTTAAAACTCAACCCCGAACTGGAAGTCCCAAACCCTAAACCAGGAAGCTGAACTTTGACAGTGCTACTGATAATGGTATTGCTCATGGAGTTGATGGTTCAAATGATGGTGATATCATTATCGTTATCATCGTTTTCATTTTTTGTCTCATCTCCTTTTTCTACTATAACACTTAAGAGGGCAGAGCGGGTCTCGGAAGACGCTCCGAATGGCGGAGTGAGTCCCTGAAGATGCCTGCTCCCTACTGGGCCCAGGGTGTCCCGGACGGAATCTCGCTCACGCTTCTCCAGCAGGTGCGCAGTCTTGTGCCCGGAATTATGGCCGTTTTGTGGCCCTCTGCGTGCAGTCTTCAGGTATTACAGCTGCCGGCGTGATTCGTTGTCTCCTCCTTGCGGAATCCGAGTGCAGTGTTCAGTTTGTGCATACCATTTTCTTGTTTTAGTTTCTCCCCCCCTGTTCAACCTCCGGCGGCCGTTCTCCTACCCGGGCTGTTGTGTGGCTCTCTCTCGGTGCACAGTGTTCGAAAGTCGGCGGAATGGTTGCTCTCATGTTCGAATACAAGCACACAGCGGACAGGATTCGGATGGAAACAAGGCGCACCTGGACTACTCACAATCACGTCATGAGCTCGAATCTGACCTCACCCTGATCTTAGGGTTGTTTTCTTTTTTCTCGTGTGTTGGATTCGAGATCTTCGGCCACATGGGCTTAGTTGTCTATCGGGGGGGGGTATGCTAAGTGTGAACCCAGGCCTGTATTTCAACAGTTCGGGGGTGAACTATGAGCTAGCCCACCCGGTCGGGCTTGGGTTTCTGTTTTTTTCTTTTTTCTTTTGTTTTTTTTGGGGGGGGCATTTGTACTTACAAGCCCGCGTAGCATCACCTACCTGCCCGACACTATGCCTGCCAGCCCCCATAGTGTCATCCAGTCCACATACTATGACTTGCACCATGTTGCATAACACCACCCAGCCCATGCCATACCACCCACACATACTAAAAGTGATCGACATAGTTAGGCCCACACCGCATATTACCACGCTCTTGACACAGTATGACCCACCCGCTGCAGTATGACCGGATCCGCAGAATATCACTTGGATCACATGATACCTCGCACCCCACATATACTGCCTCGCGCTGCTGTGTGTCTCTGTTTATGGTGCCAACACACGTAGTACCGCAAGTGATGTTTAGTTTTCGGGTTGCGTGAGTTTCTCCATTTTGCAAAAGACAGATGACACCACGCGCTGTAGGATCATGTGTGTGTGTGTGTGTGTGTGTGTGTGTGTGTGTGTGTGTGTGTGTGTGTGTGTGTGTGCGTAGTGTCCCATTCCACCCAGTCGACTTGAGACCAGCTGGGTTGTGTAGTGTCACCTGGCGTGCCACACGATATCCCCCAGCCCACATAGTACTGACTGGCCATGCTAAGGGTTGAGTTGTGTCTGACTTTGACCATGTGTTATTTGTTGTTTTGGGTGGGGGCGGGCACGACCTAGCCCACGACTCGCTGTACGTACACGTGGCTGCATGCAGATTACCGTTTGTTTCTGTACAATTGATCTGCATGTCACGAGCAAAGCCTTCCTTTTTCAAATCTGGATTTCCCTGCCACTCTGACTTCCCGCCAACGGGACAAGGCGCCACAGCCTTTTCCATCTGCAACTGTCGGCTGCGGCCGTTGGCCGCAACGCGCCAAATAACTTGTTCTTTCTCTTTTAAAGGGCGGCCGCGGGGATATATGATCTTTGAACTGATCAGCCCCGGGTTAATTCAGAGTTATTTTTACTCGTCTGGTGCCATTGGACTCTGTGCCAGCCGCCTAGCTCAGTCGGTTTCGCACGCAAATGACATTCGGCAGGTCATGGGTTCAATTCTCCACCGCCGCCTGCGGTGTGCTTGGTGTTCACCAGCTGAGATAGTTAGGTTGCACACCCCCCCGTCCTGGGCTCTCCTGGAGGCCTTCGCCCCTGCCATTCCTCAATGGGGTTCCTAGCCTTGGTAGATTTCGGTTGCTCCTTCCCGGTGTGCTTCGTCGTATATGGGTAGGTAGTGTATGGTATTCTCGAGAGAAGAATATAACTTAGACAAAAAAAAGGAATTTGAACTCAGGATACCAACGGGGATAAGCTCAGTTGGTACACCCATGAACTGTTGAAACAAGGAGCTCAGTTCAAAGCCCCATAACTCAGATGAGTAAACTCTGAATTTACCCGGGGCCGGCCAGTTTGATGATGATATCTCACAGCCGTTAGCCATTTAATTTTTTGTCCTTTTTTTTTTTTTAAAGGAATTTGAACTCAGGTGTGTGTTTCAACAGTTTATGGGTGAACCAGCTGAACTATGCCAGTTGGTGTTCTTTTTTCTTTTGTGTTTCTATAAATCGTTTGCAATTTTAGTGTTGAAAATGCTTACTATGGTCTACAATGATGATGGTTATGCTGTGAATCCCTTTTTTTTTGTTTTTGTTTTTTTTGTTTTTTTTTTAAGTGCTGTGAATCCTGATTGAAAGNNNNCCCTTACTAATGAGTCGTAATGACCACTTGTCTTTGTGATGATTTGGCTTTGCACAGTGAGACACTTCTCCTCTTTTTCCTGCCTCAGGTTATCAACTTTATCTATTCAACTCCTCAGGTAATTAACCCCCATATATATTTCCTTCATTCCTTCCTTTTCCGTCCTTAATACTCCTTATACATCCTTCTTTCCTTAGCAGCTTTCCGGTGCTTTCGTCTGGTGCTTTTGTCCCTTTGATTGCCCCCGCCTCTAAGGGGTTAGCCCCTTAGGGCTGTAATGTTATTTCCATCCAGTTCCATCAAGATTTTCATTGGCAGTTACATGTGTGTATGTGTGTGCCATTCAGCCACATGACCTAGGTGCCCTTGGCCTTTCTTACTTAAAACTGTTTCTACTTCTGTTTTCTTTCTCCCTCCTTCCTCCTCATCCCTCCTCTCCTTGTGCCCATCTTCCCTCCCTCTCTCTGTTCCTAGCATTTCCCCTCCCTCCCTCCCTCCCTCCCTCCCTCCCTCCCTCTCGTCCTTGCTTCCCCACTTCCTTGCCACTTTCCCACTTCCTTGCCTCCCTGTCGTCCTTGCATCCGTTCTCCTTTCCTTGCCTACCTCCCTCTCTTCGTTGTGCTTATCCCCTCTCTCCTCCCTCTCTTTCTTTCATTCATCCTCTCTCCCCTCTAGCCCCCCACCCCTCTGGCCCCTCCCTCCTTACATCCCTTCCTTGGACCTCTCTTCCTTTCCTCCCTCCCTGCCTGGCAGTCCCTGCCTTGTACCATTTCTCCCTCCCCTCCCTCCCCTCCCTCCCCTCCCTCCCCTCGCATGTCCGACCCTCCTTTCCTTCCTTGCTTTGTCCTTCGCTTATGCCTATTCAAGGCTATTCATGGACCTTTGGGTGGTGAATGCGGCTGCTCAGTTATTGCCCGCAGTTGCAGGTCTGCCCAAGATGTGGATGATTTGTGAGTCTGTCTCTCTCCTTAGTGGATTTGTTACTCTTCTTGTTGGCAGTAGAGCTAGAAAAATACCGAACAGGGGTGACAGAATGTGCCATTCGTACCCAACGAGCAGTATAGCGAAGGGGCAGGGAGGAGGGAGGAGTCGAGTACTCGTGGCCTGCTACTCAGGACCATTTTGCTATTGACTAGATGATTCACGTCAGGGAAGAAAAAAAGAAGAAGTCAATCCGTCTCTTCCTGCCAATCCAGTACGTTTGACAATATCTCCTTCTTTAATGGCAGTATCACTACCAAAAACCACAATTCCTACACTCTCATAATGTCGTCTTCCTCCCTTTGTGCTCTCCCAACAGAATCCCTCCCTTCCCCTTCCTCCCTCGCCCCCGTTGCCTCCCTCACCTCCCCTATGGTCTTCCCGCCTTTTCCTTCTCCCTGCAAAAATTGCTTAAATAAGAGACAGACACGCTTGCGTGCCTATAATTAAGAATTATATATAGCCTCTGAGGCAGAGCAGACGAGGCAGAGAGCAGGCACCTGAATACCAGGGGTAGGATTTATCCTGAGATAGGGTTTGCGACTTTGCACTTTGAACGTTGAACTTGATTGTTAAGTTCAACTTTGAACTCAAAACTTTAAACTTGGGATTTATCCTGCAGTGCAGGGTTTGAACTTTGGACTTCGAACTTCGAAAGTTGGACTTTGAACTTTGGGCTTTGACTTTGAACTTTGACTTTGAACTTTGACTTTGAACTTTGACTTTTGAACTTCGACTTTGAACTTTGACTTTTGAACTTTGAACTTTGAACTTGATTGTTAAGTGCTCATTTGGTTTCCGGGGGCTTCATGTGATTAGGCAAAACAGACGCCTGTAAACCACCGGTTAACCAAGGTAACTGGGATTCAATGCACTTGGCCTTTAACCGTGTGTCCACCTGATTAGAGGCCAAGTGCGCTGAATCCGCTTACACCGGTTAGCTAAGTACCTGGTTTTCATAGTCAGGTCTGTAGCAGATACCAGACCGTGAACCGCAGACAGTTTTCCGGTGCGCCTTGCCCGACCGATAATGTGTCTCATCGTAGGTGCTGCTGGTCGTTGAACCCCACACATGTTGTAGAAGAGGTATATTTTTCAGTTTTTTTTCTGTCTGAATAAACCACTTGATACTAAGTTGATAGTATATATAATAGCCTTCGAAGTTCGAACCCTGTATGTTTGACTTCGATTGTTTCGTAGGTGTTTGTTTCAACTTTCAAGCCATTTCTTGGGACTAATTGACTGCTCGTCCTCTTCGGAAGAACGGACGCAGTCCATGCTTAGCCGAGGTGCGGGAACCTCTTTCCGATCTCTCTTTTTCCTGGTCCTTGTTGACCTTAGAATCGAAAACAGAAACTCTTTTTTCTAGTACGTATGCAGTCTGGTTGTGTTTATTTTTTGCAATCGGCTCATTTTTTCGTTTAAACCACCGACTACCGTCTTCACCCGAATAGAAGGCCCAGTCATTATCGCGGTATCTAGGCTGAAAGTTGAACCAAATACAGCTATAGTGACCGCGTTTCTGTTCATGTGAAAATGGCACCGCTGCAAACTTTTGCACTGAAGTCGTCTACCGCCGCATTCTTCGGGGGGCGCGGTGTCCCAGACCTCTTTGCCAGTGGAACCAGCCAAAAAGAAAAAGAAAAGGGAGGGCCGCCCCGATGCTTTTTTTCAACTTGGCGTGCAGCACATATCCGCCACGTGCAGTGGTGGTTTAAACTTTAAAGTAGGCAATGATAGGATCACATTATAATTGAGGATGGAGAACCTCTAGCATCAACTTGGGCCGTTTCCCTCCACACACACACACACACACACACACACACACACACACACACACACACACACACGGCCAAAAAAAAAAGAAAAAGAAAAAGAAAAAAAATGTGGAGGGATTCCCGACCTCCTTTTGCTTATGTATGTCAATGAAATCAAGCTTTTAAAAAAAAAAAAAGAGAAAGTGGAGGATCAGTGACTCGCGTGCCCATGGTCTCTTCTACTAAGCTTGAGGATGACGATGAGAGCTGACGAGACCGAATGATTGGCACAATTTGGCAGAGTTGCGTACTGCCTTTTTCCCCCGAACACAACGCGCAGCGATTACGTCTGATTCGAGACGACTACTTTGTCTGGAGCTCTTTACTGGAAGAAGTTGCTAGTGGAGTTCATGCAACAGACTTCAATTTTGAAAAGGGGGGGGGGGGGGGGGGAGGAACTGACTCTCAGCAAACCAGGTGGAACGTGCACTGCAAGTTTCTGACGTGCGTTTTTTTCTTCAGCGTCAAAATTTGAAATTTTAAATTTTAAAATTTGTCAGTCGATGACGGAAACTTTTTTTTTTTTTTTTTTTTTTTTGAGTGCAGCTTTTCAAGATTGTACATTGCCCTCGCCATCGTCTCCCAAGGTACGCACTTCCTTTTGTTTTTTTTCGTTTTCTGAACTTTCCTCAACTTTCCTCCCCTTTGCTCGTATCTGTATCTGGCCTGAAAGTTGCACTAGATATGTTTTCCCTTGTCTGCACGCGTCCTGTATCTGGTCGCATTGCATTGCGGCGGGTCACATGGTACCGATTGTGTCTTGCACTCATCGTTGTTCTGTGTGGGGCAATTCTCATCTTTTTTTTCCTTCTTTGTTCTTTTTTTTTTTTTTCCGGGCGAGGGGGACGGTGATGATATACATCTGTGTGTTTTGTCCCAGTTTCAGCAAATGGCCCATAGAGCTCGTTTCTTTTCTTTCTTTGTCTTTTTGCAGCGTCCTGGTGCGGTGCTATTTCACTGTTGAACACCGTGTCCTGGCTGTAGTGGTTAAGAGACTTGGCTCGTGTGCCCAAGGGTGCCGGAACGATTCCATGCGTGCACGGATGGGCCTGAGAGGCCAGAAAATATGTATCGATAACTATTGTGAAAGCTTCCGTGAAACCTGCAGGCAGTTTGAAGTCCCATGTGAGTGATAGGGCAATTGAGCAGTGGGAGTCATATGCTGGGTTGGAGTGAACTGTGCGAGTACTGCGGCGTCGATGTGGTGTTGTGTGTGGTGTGAGTGATTAAGGAGAGGTGAGGCGGATTTCACGGCCGGTAGTATGGTTCCACTTGTAAATGACCAGTTACACCCGGGCCTGTCGGCACCGCACTGCACGCCAAGCTTTGCCGAACCGCCAGCGGTGCACTTCTTTTCTTTTTGGGCTGGCTGGGGGTCACATCAGAATCCCTCACGGAATCAGAGATAAAAAAGACAACAACAGAATCAAACTAAGGCACCCTGCTCTAAACCCCTTTAGCCCCTAAAAAAAAACAATTTACGCCCCTTCCCCCCCCTTGACCTGTCTCTTATACACATCTAGATGTGTATAAGAGACAGGTGTGTTGTTTTCCTCCTTGGTTGCTTCTGCAGATGCTAAATAACTATCGATGAGAGAATCAATTGATTCTTTGGATGATTATTGTAGCGGATATCAGTCACAGTAATGACCGATCGTTGAGGCAAGATATTCATATCTTGCCTTAACGATTGCTCAGAGAACAGTAGCTACTAACAGTAGCTACTATTGCTTTTACGAGGCAGTTGCATTTGCATCCGGTTCAGCTGCAACCCCTATCTTTTGCATCTTTTAGCTTAATAACACAGAGTCACTCACCTTCACCTTACTCTGCAGCTTTTTTGCACGTTTGCTTCCTGGTCTCCTCTCCTTTCCTCTTCTCCTCTCCTCTCCTCTCCTCCCCCTCTCCTCTCCAGGTATATAATCATTAATTTTGTACGCTATTATATGCGATACACTTAAACCACTAGTACCTCCGAGCCTGTTTTTGCCGAACCTGAATTTCACTGCGCTCCGAGTTTGCCGAGCCTGGGTACCACTCTGTTTTCTTTCTGGTACTCTCACAGAAAGAACAAAAGAAGAAGAAGAAGAAGAAGAAGAAGAAAAGTTGCGGCCGTGAACTCAGAAAAAAAAAAAAAAAAAAAAAACGAAACAAAGCTTTGGCCGTGATTGCAGTTGTATACATTCTTGGA